TTTCTTTATTAACCTTAATCCTTACCACGTGAGCTTTTCAATTTTTATTATTTTATTTAGAAGTGTTTAGTAGTGATCTTGTAATGCCCATCTAACCTTAACCCCTACTAATCCTTAAACCTTAATTCTTAATAAGTTTAAGGATTGTGTTTTGACGTTTTGTTGATGCATTGACCTTTTTCAGCTACTCACGACGACATGTTTGATATTATAGCTGTCAAGGTTGTAAGATTATTTTTCCAACTACTTTTATTCTTAGTGCACCAAATTGACTATATATATATATTTTTGTTTTTTCCGTGTTTGTGTATTTTATGAGTTGTTGCTATTTGATCAAATGGTTCTTTAGTTCATTAGAGGGATTGCTTTTTTGTGATGGCTACAACAAATTGATTGAGAGAAATGGGTAGTGGTGGTTTTACTTTTTTCCTTTCCTTTTTTTTTAGATTACTCAAGGAATCCTTCTTCTATCCAAAAAAACCTGCAAGTCAATCTTTCCCAAAAGTCACTCTTGGCGTAATTGGTTAATTGGTATTATCTTTTCAGTTTTGTTTGTTTAGCTATTTGAAATATTGTTGAATGTTGAATTAGTAACAGTGCTATTAAATGGTGATGAGCTTTTTTCCATGTTGATTTTCCGTACTGATGAATACATATGACATTCTTAGTGTTCTTGAGTTGAATTGGGCAGGTATTTATGTCATTGTTTCATTAGTGGAGCATGATTTTCTTTTCTTCTCTTCCTTCGTGGCTTATTTTTATGTACTTAAAAAATGTGGTTATTAACAATATGTCACAGTTTTTGTGTCATTGCTGCTTTTGGTGATATATGCACACTCCCCATCAAGCAGTGATGGGTTGGGCTGTTATTTATATTAATTTGCTTTTAAGTTTGGGTTTGAATTAGTTGAAGGGTTTGAATTTGAGTTAAATGATTGAAGGATATACTATGTGATTGGTCATCACAATGTTTTTATATGCACATTTACCTATGTGTGAAAAAGGCTTTAAATTATGAATTATAATTATGTCTATATAACCAAAAATTGATTATTAGGTCATGTTCTTATTTTTTGTTTCGGTTAATGTTTTGATGGGCCCATGTTAATGAGAAAAAAATAATCTTTTGTTTTAGAAGAGATAAAGTGGGTTTCTATTTCGGAGAGAAAGGTGTGATAAAAAGTATTTGTAAGTATTTTTCTGTAAGTATTGGGAGGAAGGTTAGAGGCTTCGTTGTTGAGTATTGTGTTTCTTTCATGCTCCCTCTCTCTGTCTTTCTCGCCTTTTCTCCGCCTCACACACACACAAATACCCTGCAACACATCACACACTTTTTACACACAAATCAATGCCATTTGTAGAAACACGCAACCATATCTCACAGTTTTGTGTCATTGCTGCTTTTGGTGATATATGCACACTCCCCATCCAGCAGTGATGGGTTGGGTAGTTATTTTTATTAAATTGGTTTTGGGAAAGGGTGGCAAAACCAAATGGTTGTTAACGTTGAGAAAGATAGTTTTATTGTGAGTATGACTTTGATCTTATTGCCTTATTATAATGTTGGTAAAGATACTTATAAATAAGTTATACATGTGAATGTTTGAAATTCAATGTCCCCACCTCCTCTTTTGGTGCTTTTCAGTGCTAAAATTATGTGATTCATTGGGAATTTTCTATTCTTCACCCTTTTTATTATTTCAAACATGTGTCAGTTTGAATTTCGATTGGTTCCTTTAAAATCTTTAATTACAAATCTTTTGAAATCCGATACTTGGATTAAATTTTGAGGATTGATGGTTGTTTTGAGATTTTTCTTTGATGCTTATTGTTCATTCTATTATTTTTTGCAAAACTCTAGGCATTTGAAGTTTGTCCCATTTATAATTCAATTTGAACACCTATTATGTGAACTAAAACAATGAAAATGCTCTTTGGTTCTGCGGTAACTTGACAAAGCATAACTATTCTGACAATTTGAGCTTGATTTTCTTTTAATTAATGTTGTTTGTGATGATTTTTGTGTTTGGTTTGAATCTTAGCAGGATTGTAAGAGTTCCTTAGTTTCAATAATTTCTTTGAGAAGTTCAATATTGTATTGAGTACATTGTTTTTTGTGTACAGGGATTGAGATCTTGAAATATTAGATTTCTTTTCTTTTATTTTTTGAAGATTGTAGTGGGTTATATGGAGAGATTAGGTAGATAGCCCCATTCCCATGACTGTTAGGTATAAAATGTGCTATCTGTACATATATATGCTTATGTATTGTTATTGTTTATTTGTATTGTATCTCATGCATAAACCTATGATGTTTTTTATTGACATGTTTCCCACTGCCATCTTGCATTTGTTTTTTGGTTTTTTTGCAACACTTAGTATGAGCTGAAATGGAGATATTATAGGAATCGGGTCAGGAAAACTCGAGTAAAGAGGCTCAAAAGAGTAAAAGCGATCGTACTGTCAATCTTTCTTCTTATGCTATGCTCGGTTTGGCGCTAGGTTTATGCAACCAGGTTTTGTTCTCTCTATCTCTATGTATTTTTTTGTTCTACTGTCAGATCTTGCAATATGGATGCGCATGATTATGAGCTATGATTAAGTTATAGCTATGATTATGAGCTGTATAAATACAAAGAAGTATGATTGTAAGTATTGTAGACATGTTTAGATTTTTTTGGACTCCTATTTTTAAAGGATATAATGTTGAAATTTAATTACAAGTAGTAGAGACTAGATTTTAATTTCCTAGATTAAAGCAAATGAAGTAAAAACTATTTCAAATTGACAGTTTGTTTTAGGTAGCAAAATGCCTTTAGACAATGTAGTATTCTTGAAATTTTAATTTAATTTTTCGTTATGTTGTGCCTTCAAACATGAGTAATTACTAGTCTTTCTAATATGCTTTCTGCGTTGCTTGAAGCCTATTATGTTGATAGTACCACATATTGGGTTTGAACATTGTTTTTGCCTCATAATTTAATTATTCACTTGCATCTTATTGTTTTTTGGTGAAATTAAAATATTTTTGTCCTCTTCAATATTGTTTTTTTGTCCTTTCGTTATTCTTGTTTTTTTCGAGTACTTGGAGCTATTTGTATGATAGGAACTGCATAGAAGGTGCTTCAAAATTAAATCTAAATTAACAAATAAAAAACAATCAAAAGGTTTCGTATCGAATGTTTTTAATCATGGAGGATCAATTCTATGCAAGATGAATTGTTTTTGAGTGATAGTTGATAGAACTAGGAAATCTCATGGGAAGGACAATGATGCTCAAGATTGTACATATAAAAATTCAAGTCAAACAATTGAAGATTCAAATATTTCCATCTAAAAATAAAATAGTGACATGAAATATATTTTGCTCTACTCTACGTGACAGTGCGTCAAAAAAGCGGCATAAGTTATTTTGGGACTATATAATTTTCCTTTAAATTGGTAATCATTTAAACCATGGAAATGAATTAACTTTTCATGTGATTTCTAAGAACAACATATATTCCCGTTATAATGTCAAGAACTTCATGTGTTTGGAATTTCCTTTCTTGTATAATTGTATTACGTGTCACTAATTATATCTTCAATATGTTTATGTGACTTCAACACTTTGATAAGATTTATCAGTGGGAAAATAGTGCCTAAAGGTCAGGAGAAAATTCACTTCGCTCACAAAGATCATTTTTGCTTAAGGATATGCTGGCAGAATTAAAGGTTTATGAACACACCTTGTAGTATACCTTAACCGTTATAGACGAGTTCACAAACTTTTTTATTTTGTACCTATTTCTAGCAACTTATTTACAGGGATTTTTTTTTTGGTTTTGTTGGGGATTCAAATAGTACATGCATGTGTGTGCATTTGTAGGATATGATAGGTGGTTAGATCATTTGAGTGGACTTGTTTGTGCTGAATGGAAACATTGGTAGCAAGTTTACTGATTAAGTGGTTCGAAATGGTTCTTTAAGAAATAATGGTGAAGAAGCTACCGGAGCATCTCTGTCTTTCATTATGGCAAATGATTTTATAGGGAGAGTTTGCACTAATCCAAGTCTTTCTTCAGTAGTCAATATTTGAAGAGAGATATGGTCCACTTCAATCTTCACATCTAATTGTTTAATCAACAGCCCATTTGTATAACATACTGCCTACCAGTTGCTAAATTTCCCAGATAGCATAAATAATCATTGTTGAATCTTGGATGGTTGGTCATTATATACTGCTTCCTGCCTCACGTTTGTTCCTTTGCTTCTTATATTGTATTTATTTAGTTTATTGTGTCTAATTGTCAAAAACTCGAAATATATTGTGAGCTAAGGTTCCATCTTGTGTGTTCGGAATCACAGAAAGTTGTAAGTTATTGACTCTATAGGTTATGACTCCTTCACCTCATTTGAATTTGAGTCTTTTCTACAGTGTAATTCATGAGTTGCACAAGTGAGCTCAGTACCATGATGAAGATTTAAGACATAAAGAACTAAAGTCTGTGGTTGTGTATGGTTTAGCTGCCCAACACTCCATCAACTGAAACATTTTTTTTTTCATCAGATCAAGCAGCTTAAGTTCTGTCAGCTTCTTCATTACATGCATTTCCCATTAAGTATGTTAAGTATATCAATCGGATTTCCATGCAGATTGTGAAGGGTATGATTTAGCCTGGTTCCAGTGTTTTCTCTGTATATCAGTTGATAATCCTGGATCACTTGTGGTCTAACTTCTGTGAGAAGAGAGTAACTTCAGGATGGGGTGACTAAAGCTGCAATCTGGAATCAAGGTCATTGAAGAAGAACCAGAAGATTGCAAGACTGCAAATTCTCATCAATTCACTTTTGGATGTATGATTAATTCAGAAATAGGTGTTGTATTGGCTGTCATGAGAAGGAATGTGAGATAGGGTGGTAGCTGTATGTCGGGCGATGATCAGCTGGAACACTCTCTCATTCAATCTTTGAAGGCATTACAGAGGCAAATATTTTCATAGCAGCATCAGTGACATTCCATGAATCCAACCGAGTATCTTCAGCCATTTTTGGATGTGATTCGATTTGAAGAAACTGGGGCCCCAATTAAAGGTGTTGCTTTATCATCTGTTTACAAGATTTTGAATCTTGATGTGCTTGATCTGAACACAGTAAACGTTAAAGATGCTATGCACTTGGTAGTTGATGTCGTGACTAGCTGCAGATTCAAGGTGACTGATCCTGCATCAGAAGAAGTGGACCTGATGAAGTTACTTCAGGTTCTTCTGGCTTGCTTGAAAAGTAAAGCATCTGTTATGTTGAATAATCAACATGTTTGCACCATTGTAAACACTTGTTTCCGTGTAGTACATCTATCAGGAACAAAAGGTGAGCTGTTGCAGCGTATTGCTTGCCACACAATGCATGAACTTGTTAGGTGTATTTTTTCACACCTTCAGGATGTGGACAACACAGAATGTTCATTGGTTACAAGAGGCAGTTCTATCAAACAGGATGTAAATCTGAATCTTACTTTCCCTCTTTTCTTTCCTTTTTTAATTATTTATGTGATATCCTTGTATGCAGTTTCTGCCTTTTCATATCCTATTGGTTCCTGGATAGGAGTGATAAAATATGTCATAAATAAAGAAACTGCAGACCTAGTTGTCTATGATTTATTACGAATTTGGTTGACACTATTTTCTCTTATGCAGATTGGGGGGATGGATAATAATTAAAGTCTTGGGACTAAACCCTTAGAGAACGGCAATGGTACTTCTGAATATGATGGTCAACCATCATTTGGGAGTTTCAGTTCTAATGTTGTCGGTAGTCTGGTTACAGCTGTGATGGATGAAGATGTACTCGCTCAAGGTAATGGGAAGGATGTTGTCTCATATGATATGGAATTGATGACAGAGCCCTATGGGGTCCTCTGCATGGTGGGTATATTTCACTTCTTGTGCTCATTATTGAATGTTATTGTGCATATGGGAATGGGTCCCAAATCAAATACTATAGCTTTTGACGAAGATGTGCCACTTCTTGCCTTGGGTTTGGTCAATTCAGCAATTGAATTGGGTGGTCCTTCTATACGTCGTCATCCTAGGTTGTTGAGTTTGGTACAGGATGAACTATTCCGTAATCTGATGCAATTTGGCTTGTCAATGAACCCACTAATTCTTTTAATGGTTTGTAGTGTTGTTCTCAGTCTGCATCATCATTTGCGTTCTGAACTCAAACTACAACTTGAAACTTTCTTTTCCTGTGTGATTTTGAGGCTTGCACAAGGCTGTTATGGGGCTTCATATCAGCCGTAGGAGGTTGCCATTGAGGCTTTTGTTGATTTTTGCAGGCAGAAGGCATTTATGGTGGAGATGTATGCTAACTTAGATTGCGACATTACTTGCAGCAATGTGTTTGAAGATCTTGCCAACTTATTGTCAAAAAGTGCATTTCCTGTAAACTGTCTTTTGTCTGTGATGCACATTCTTGCTGTGGATGGTCTGATTGCTGTAATTCAGGGAATAACCGAGAGGATCAGCAATGGATCTGTTAGTTCGGAACAAGGTCCTGTAACTCTTGAGGAGTATATCCCATTTTGGATGGTGAAGTGTGGCAACTACAGCGATCCTGATCATTGGGTACCATTTGTCCGGCGGAGGAAATACATTAAAAGGAGACTAATGATTGGTGTTGATCACTTTAATAGGGATCCCAAGAAAGGGCTTGAGTTTCTTCAGGGAACGCATCTCTTGCTTGACAAACTTGACCCTCAGAGCGTGGCTTGCTTTTTCAGGTATACTGCTGGGTTAGATAAGAATCTTGTTGGGGATTTCTTGGGCAACTATGACGAGTTTTGTGTTCAGGTTCTTCATGAATTTGCCTGGACATTTGATTTCCAATACATGAACCTGGATACTGCATTGCGGCTATTTCTGGAAACTTTCCGATTGCCTGGAGAATCACAAAAGATACAAAGGGTTCTAGTCTTCTAGAAGCATTCTCAGAGAGATATTATGAACAATCACCACAGATTCTAGCTAACAAGGATGCGGCTCTTTTGTTATCCTATTCACTAATAATGCTGAACACAGATCAACACAATGTACAAGTTAAGAAAAAGATGACAGAAGAGGATTTTATCTGGAATAATCGGCACATTTACGGGGGTAATGATCTCCTCGAGAGTTATTGTCAGAATTGTACCATGCAATCTGCAAGAATGAGATACGCACAGCCCCAGAACAAGGTTCTGGCTTCCCTGAAATGACGCCAAGTCGTTGGATTGATTTAATGCACAAGTCCAATAAAACTACACCATTCATTGTGTCAGATTCCAGAGCCCATCTGGACCGTGATATGTTTGCTATAATGTCAGGCCCAACAATTGCAGTTATTTCAGTGGTATTTGAATATGCAGAACTTGAAGATGTAGACCAAACATGTATTGATGGATTCTTAGCTGTTGCAAAGATTTCTGCATGCCATCATCTCAAAGATGTTCTGGATGACTTGGTGGTGTCTCTATGCAAGTTCACAACCCTCTTGAACCCGTCATTTGCCGAGTAACCTGTTTTAGCCTTTGGTGATGACACAAAAGCTAGGATGGCAACTGTAACAGTTTTTATCATTGCAAATAGGTATGGTGATTTTACCCGCACTGGTTGAAGGAATATCCTGGATTGCATCTTAAAATTGCACAAACTTGGTCCTCTACCTGCTCGTGTGGCCAGTGATGCAGCTGATGATTCAAAACTCTCTTCTGAACCTGGACATGGGAAGCCTTTAACAAATTCTTTATCTTCAGCTCACATGGCACCCATGGGTACTCCAAGGAGATCTTCTGGACTGATGGGCCACTGCAGTCAGCTCTTATCTCTCGATATAGAGGAGCCAAGGTTGCAACCTATTGAACAGCAACTTGCTAGGGGTGTTAGAATTGCTGATTGTATTTTATAGGGGTGTTCAAATTTTCGATCGGCCGCAAGTTCCTACCCTACCCTATCCTACCCTACTGAACGACTAGCTGCAAAAATCAAATAGGAATGCGAAAGAATTTTTAGTCTTTCGACAATTTTCGGGTAGGAATGCGGAATAGTTATCCATTTCCGCATTCCTACCCTAACCTACCTGTAATAATTTTTTAATATATATAAACTAAAAAAACCCTAAACCCTAACTAAAGGCGGAGCAAATATAATTTTAATGTATTTCATATAATATAAAATTTCAACTTAAATTAATTGTTATTGTATTTGTGTAACAATTATAGTGGATTGATGTTCATACTTTCTTGTGTTTTATTATAATTCTGGATGCAGTTATTTTAGATTTTAATGTTAATTGATTTACTGTGTTGTTAAATTGGTGCATATTATTTTATTAAATTGTTAAAATGATCCAAAAATTAATTGTTACAAAAATGTTTATCCGATTTGCTACTCGACTTCCTACCCAATTAATAGGGTAGGAAGTCGGGTAAGAATACCACACCTGTCGGGTAGGGTAGGTCAAGAAAAACTCTTTCACAAAGTATCGGATAGGAAGACGGAAGAACATATTTTCTACCCGTAGGGTAGAGTGAACACCCCTAGTATTTTATAGATTGATCGCATATTTTTGGCTGAATTTCACATTGCGCCGTCAAAATCAAAATATCTTGCGCCTTTAATTTATTGACAAGGTGGAAAAGTACCTCGATTCACAGATGGAGGCTGTTTTGCTGTCAATGAGCCCCTCAACGTGCGTATTACATGAATTACTAAACACATACAAATCGCACCCTAAACTGGATTAAGACACCCCTAAATCCCGTTCCCAAATAGATTAAAATCAACTCAATGCCAAACATTACTCTCTCTTCCCCTTCCTCCCCCAAATCCCGTCCCCTTAGTTATTGATGAGATCTAAAATTTGTTATCAGCCATGAAATATTAAATCTGAAACACTAGAATACGATAAGAAAAAATTTCTGACATTCACTCGACAAATTTAGAGATTAAATGAAAATTAGGGTATTAATTGCCAATTTTAAAAGTTAAATAATCAAAATAAACTAAAGTAAAATTACACTTAACCACTTAACCACTTAACTATGGATTTAGTTTCAATTTAGCTTCCAATATAATAAAATAAAAAATATTAAAGATATAAAAAAAAAAGCTAAGATGTGTAGGTGGATCGACTCATTAAGTTCCCGTTGAAATAAAATCTACACAAGAAAAAACACTTGTCATAAGGTTTTGTAGTTCTTGTGATAGCATTGTTAAGTTTTCTGTCTAAAATTTTTATAGTGTCACCTCAACTAGTTAAATTATTTTATATTGTATTAAATATAAAAGTCTATTATCTTTTTGGATATGTTTTTTGTTAAGTGAAAAGAATTATATAGTTTGGAGTAAAAAATGAAATAATTTTTCGTCAAATCTATAACAGATGTCAATAATTGGAGCAATGTGAAATTAGTCACATATTTAAGGGTACAATATAAAAAATATGATAGTTGAGAAAATAATATGTAAATAGAGTCATAGTTGGGGGGAGCAAAATGTAATGTTTCCCCATTCAACCTTTTCGCTTGTTGCTGCTTTCATTAGCTTGGAATATAAAGCGAACCCCACAAAGCATCTCTCAGACGATACACCATTCCTCCGAAGCAAAGCTCTCAAGTCACTCGGTCCCTCTGCTTCGTCTCTCTCACGCACTCACTTCTCAGACCCTACCAATGGCAACCATCACAAACCCACCGAAAGTAGAAAACCCTAAGAAAACGCTTGCTCAACCAGATCCCACTCCGACGACCTCCGCCGGAGACCTATCTCCCAAAACGATCAGTAACAGCAGTGCTTCATCTACCGGCGGTGCTCAATCGACCCTCAAGGACGGCGGCGACGACTCGAAGGTGACTACTGTGGCGACGGTGGAAGGGGACAAAGATAACAATAGCGGTGCGGTTTCGGCGATACAGAAGAAGATGCAGAGGGCTGAGCGTTTCGGGATGCCTGTGCAGCTTTCTGAACAAGAAAAGCGAAATTCTCGAGCTGAGAGGTACTAATAATTTGTGTTTATTGATCTATATGTATAGATTCACATGCATGTATCAATTTTATTTGGGAGGCAGAGGCTAGGGTTAGGGTTTTTTGGTCTAAGCTTTGGTTGGCTCGATTTTTGTTCATTAGAATTAGGGTTTTCACAAGTGGTGTGTTTTAGGAGTTGTTATGCGTTCCCCATGGGTTGAGGCTTTCTGGCTCCTCACTAGCCTTCTGCTGAATGTGTAACTGTTTTATATGCTGATACTCCATGTCTCCTCATGGTTTATTCTATCAGAGAGAAAATCATTTACAAGTTATAAATCCACAACTAAATGGTTCTTGCGTTATAGACTTATAGTATTGTTATAGATTGGAAGACCTTTCCAGGGACGTCATTAATGCTGAAAACCCCCTTTTTACTTTTTGATGATGGGTCTAGATTCCAGGTTCTTGTTGATTATAAATGGTGTCATTTAGATTACCTAATTTTTTAGGATTTAACAAATTTTAGATATTTAGAACCTTTTCTTTTGACTTATCCCAAAGAGACCTTAGATATCTAGGAAGTTTTATTTGCTTTCAAGTCCATAATACGGTCAAGCCCCTCGATTTATGAAATCATTATATATGATTTTGTCACAATGCAATTGTAAGAAGCAATGCTTCCTTTTTTGTGGTTGAATGAAAACATGAAGTATTTGGTTGAGAGTTTGAATCTATATTGCTTGATTAGTTTTCCTTTGTAATATGGAGGGTGAAATCCTTTCATACCATTGCTTTGCTTGTTCTTCAAGGGTGGTCATTTTTATATATCTTGTATGCTTCCCTCTTTGTTTTCATTCTCCACCTGAACAAAGGTACAAACAAATAAAGAAAAAGGAAAAAATTTCCTTTACAATGTGATAAAATGTGTGATGACTATTGTTAACTGTTCGCTTGTGAGTTTTATCTGTTCATTAAGCTTTGCACTATTGGTCAATATTGTTGCATATTTTGTTATGCAGCATTAGCAAGGTTTTTATAAGTAGCGTAAGTGTCCCTTGCAATCTGTTGTTCTTTGAACAATTGGCTTGGAGAGGAATGTGTTTATTTGAACAATTGCCTTGGAGAGGATGTGCTGATCAATCATGTTTTGGAACTAACAACCATAACTCATGTTGAATCTCATGATTGCATGACTTGATCTTAGCAAAATTGCTTTGGATGCTATGAATTGACACAATCTCAAGCCCTAATGAAGACTATAGTCAGTATATGTTTTATATCTACTTTAGGAATAAAGATGTTACTTTTCATACTGTTGTAGTGTATGAAGCAGATGCTGAAGATTCATTTTCATGATGCCATAGTGGTACACTTGGATGCAATAATAGAGTCAGCAATGGGGAACTTCATTTACTGTGGAAAATAATGAGATTTTATTGTAATTTTAGCATCCTTGATCAATGGAGACCAAGTTTGGTAATGGCCTTTTTCTAGGATATTTATTCGACAATTATGTGAATGTTTCCAGGCAAATTCAAGATTCATATGAATGTTTTTTGAATTATATTGGTGTTGATTTATTTCAAATTGTTGGTTTGTTTTCCCCTTTTAATGCTTGAATTTGTCTCCTTGCAGGTTTGGCACTGGGTCTCCTTTTGAAGGATCAGATGCGGTGAGGAAGTCGGAGGAGCACAAGAGGAAGACCAGAGCTGAGAGGTCTTTTTTTTCCTGCATCCTTAATCGAATATGACAAAATCAGTGGCTTGATTGGTGAAAATCTTCAGTAAATGAGATTGCATGACTCTTTCTGTTGTTTCTCAGGTTTGGACTTGTGCAGTCTGTGTCAGCTGATGAGGAAGCAAAGAAGAAAGCTAGGCTTGCCAGGTTTACAGCAGTCTCCAAGACAGATTCAGCGGAAGAAGATAAAAAGAAAGCTACAGCGGAAGAAGATAAAAAGAAAGCTACAGCAGAAGAAGATAAAAAGAAAGCTAGGGCAATCAGGTATGGATTATTGCAACATCTTTGGTTTTTCCCAATTGCTTGTTAGGAGCATGATTTAGTGCATCTTGCAATGTAGAGGTGCAGACTTGTCTTACTGTGTGAGAATTGAATTGGACATATTGTTACATTATTTTGCAGGTTTTCAGAACCTGCATCTAATTCTCTGTCACAAGTGAATGGCGAAGGAAACATTGAAACGGTAGGCATCTGTTTAGTGTAGTACCTTACATACGAGATGACATACTCTTTGTAAATGTGTTGCTTTATGCCTTGATTTTATCTTGTTCAGAAGACAGCTATTGCTGGCAAGGCAGGTGGAGGGACCTGAACATCAAAGCTTTTTTTGCTTTATAGTGAGACTCTTTCAAGATAAAATTTTACATCTGCAGTTTTTATGCCCTTGCTTAAGTTTATTTGCTTTCTTTGGTGCCTAGCCAATGTCTTATTCATGAGGTGTTGTTTTGTTCTATAACTTTGGCAGGTTATAGTCTAAGTTTTTGTGATTCCCCCGACAGCATAACACCCATATCTACTTTCTAACATGCAAGCGGTACTCTTCTACTTTGAAATTCTTCTACGAGGCTCAGGGCGGGAATATTGGTGACGGAGATGCTCTTTCATCCAAGATTTAGCATATATTTACCTGGTGAGGCCTGGCATAACCAACAGCAACCTCCTTTGTGTTAATTATCTGAAATGACCTACTTAGAATATCAGAAATGCTGAAAGCACAGCGAAGAGAAGTTTTATGCTTGCAAAGCTTCTAGATAAACTTGACAATCTCCAGTGATTATTGGTAGGTAACTGAATTTTATCTGACAACTTTATCATCAATGTATATCTGATTGGCATGTGGCTAGCCTCTGATTCCATACACAGTCTCAAGTAACATACTCAAGATCCAGTTGGAATCAGCAGTAAAGTCAGTCTTATCATCATTTGATCCAAGGCTTTTAGTGTCAAAATTGTGGTGTTGCTCCAGATGTAGTCGCTACTTAGGGCGTACTTTGATAAGTGATCCATTTTGAGATCTTAAATTGTTCCAACCTTTAGGTTTTATAGATGTGTAGTGCTAATCTTTTCATGTTGGTATCTTCTTGAAGTGCACAATCATGAGATTCCTAGAAGCAATGAATACTTTGAGTTAGTATAGAGAGATAGTCTAGAATTTATTAATGCGTCACTTTGACGCACTGACATAAATGTCTAACTAAGGATCATTCATATGTACTATTTTATGGTAGTAGGGAAACGCACCATATCTTTTGCCACTACAAGTCTTGGGTCACAGTGGATGATATGAATTGAGTAGTCACTCTAAACATCACTCTTCAGTAGCTGTGCAGTTCCATGTTGGATTTGAAATATATGGTTATGTATTTTCTTTATTGCTGTTCCAACTTGAACTTGATGGACATAAGAGTCGTGGTGGGATATTTAGTTGATGTTAAAGTTGGCAGATAAAAACATTTCAGACATGTGGTTTTGCTAATGAGAAGTTTAATTTTCCAAGCCATGGTTTACAGAATTTCTGATATTCTCAGCTGGTCATTGAAGCTATGTTGACAATTTAGGAGGTATTTGTGAACTCTCTTTTGTCTCACCGGGTGAATTGTCTTTGGAGTCTGTATGTGCAGAAATCGGTGGAGGGTATTGTTTGATGAACTGAATTTTGTAGATTTGTTATTGAAACTCTTTAAGTTTTGTTGTTTTTGGATATTTGGAAGACAAGGTAAGTTGATTGGGGGAATCATTTTATTGTTTTGTTTTTTTGGTTATCATTTGCATTTCCATTTCCATTTCATATCGACGTATATTTGCTATTTGTGGAATCCTGTTTTTTTGTCATGTTTTTGGCTACTCTGGAGTGCTTTGGTGATTAAGTGCAACCACTTAATTATTTGATATTGTAGCATAATTAGCAGCAGATCCAATATTAAATTTGACGCCAATATTAGATTAGGTTTGCGAAATGGGATAGAAAATTACGTTTTAAGTAGCATTATTCTAGTTGTAATTGTAATTATACTCGGTTTCGTCCGGGGATAGAGGTGGGGTTGGGGGCTGTTATTGTTGAAAAATATTATGAGCAATGAAAGACGTGGAAAACAAAACAAAAATTACAAATTCTCGTGTAATCGGTTGACAACCCTGCATTGCTGCTAGTTGAGACAATGTTAACAAATAGTTGAAACAAATTGAATAGATAAGTTAAGCGGTAGTAGAGATGAGTCGAAAATTTAGATGTTTTGATTTTAAATTTTGTCAATTTTTTAGGTTTAAGTTATTTTTGTTGAATACCTTATGTTTTGTTGTTTGGTAGAAAAGATGAAAAGTAAAAGATTTGTTTAGTAGAAAGGATGAAAAATAAAAGAGCCGGAAAGTAAGAGGATTATATTTTTAATACTTCTAGATTCTTACTTTATTTTCTTTGTGTTTGGTAGAATGGATGAAAAATAAAAATAATTAATTTTTTTTTTTGCTTGGTAAGATGAAAAAATATTTTTAAAATTTTTAATTTTAATTTTTTTTAAAAAAATTATAAATATATATTTTATCTTTATATTTATATATGATATTATGTATATATCAAAAGAAATATAAACAAACAAGTCATAATCTGTGCCCGAAGGTATAATGGAACATAATATTTGAGCGCCAAAAAAATCAATCCCATTGTAGTAAATAATAATTTTTCTTTTCTTCATTTTCTTTAATTACATTATTTAAAATTTATTTTTACATTTTATTTTTTTAAAAATATCAACAATTTTTTTTTCAAAATATATAATCCAATAAAATTTTTTCAACTTATGTATATTATTGTATTTGGATAATGTTTAAAATAAAAATTATGTGAAGTTACACATTAATTAAATATTAAATGATTAAATATGTGATAAAAATAATTGATGTGATTTTTTAAAGGAAAAAAATATGTAGGAGATAAAAATTCAAGTTGCTAGATGTTTTATTATATAAATAAGATACATTTTAACACAAATAATTAAATTTTTATTAATTTTTTTTTAATTTTGGAGGGATTAATTTTAGTGAGGTAGATGAATAAACTTTCCTTTCAACTCACTAAAATTTTGATCAAAATTTTAGTGAATTGGAATGAACGTTCATTCATCAATTTTTTCATTCTTCATATTTTCATTTCTTATAAAATATAATTTTTTTTTATCTATTTAACTTTTTATTTTTCTATTTTTTTATCGTACCAAATGGAGCATTAGTCTTAGCGTAAATGACTTGTATTTGATTGGGTCAAAGAGGAGATTAATTAAAGTGGACGTAAGTTGGTATAAACATTCCGGTTAAAAAAAACCCACCAGTTGAGACGGCAGTAAATTAGAACCAAATGAAGTTTTTTATCCAGGGAACTACAAAGTCACACAAATCAAAACATCAAAGAAGTTATTGCTAATTCAAAACATCAAAGAAGTTATTGCTAATTCAAAACATCTTCTATATCACTGCATAAGCCACACAAATTTATCTTGAGCCAACTCTAATCATATGTCTTCTCTCCATTGAACTCTGAAGCTTTTCTTTAGCACGCCTTAAAGCATCAAGAACATCTTTAACAGTTGCATCAAGAGTTTCTTGATCAATGATGGGTGTCGTCTTTGGCAAATCAAGTGGAACTAATGCCAATGAGTTGTCAACATAGCCATCCTCTTTCTGGTCATTTTCTCCATTATTAACATCCTTTTCTTCAATTGAAGATTTTGAGCTACAAAATTAAAAACAATCTTATCAATATTGGAATTCTAACTAAGCAAGCACAAAATTGTGTATGGTTGAGTAAGAGCTGTAGTATGCGTGTGCAAACAACAAATTATAACTAAAAACACAGGAAAAAGCTACGGGTGCGATTGGTAACATTTTCTACTTCGTATGCTCTCTCCCCTACGCCCTTTGGGGGCTATGGGGAGAGAGTTATGAGTACATTCCCTCAATCCCACTAAAATAGAGGAGTTAATCAATCGGGTTTAATAAAACAATACCAAACTTATTACTAGTTAGAGTTTGTGTCACATTTTAATGGGTCGCTTCACTCGCTTTTAGTACGTTAACTTCAATGATTGATTGTCTTACTTTTTGTTGAACACATAATTTAAGAAATTGCAACCCGACAAGAATCAATGCTTCTTACCAATCAAAAAACACTTGCCCACCCAACACAAACAAACCTTATGTTACCTAAGAAGTTATTTTTGGGTACCATATTGAAAATGTTATGATTTAGACCAGTGAGTTTACTACAGAAGTGGTCCTTTGAAATCCATCCTAATATTTACAATACTTACCCAAATTGAGAATAACTTTATCAGATTGAATCGTAACCTTATCTTACCAGATTGGAGCGTAACCAACTCAGTACCACAATTGTTCTTCAAAAAACAGACACTCAATTTCAATGAACTGCATAGATTGTGGTCACATACCTATGATCACAAGTCTTCGAATCATGGTAGTTTTGCCCCGAGTTAACCTCATTGGAATTTTCAGAATCAGCTTTATTTGTAAAACTTAAAGTCTCTTCATTTGAAGGACTACTGTAGCTTTGACCTGATGTACTAGATGGTGATACATTGTACTTCAAATTCTTTAAGACCACTGGCACTGGGGACTCTGTCTTCTCCATTGGTTCTTCAATGTCACATTGTGTAGAGTTTGTGATTTGGGTAATGGGTTCCTTATCTTCTGGTCCTTTTGTACTTGAAGAAGCTGTAGATATCACATGGGAAATTTCACTCTTCTCGAACAAGCTGGAATGCTCTGATTCATCACAAACATAGGATATGTTCATGGACTCGAGCTTCTTTGTTAGGAATTTCAGTTTCTTTTCAGCTTTGTTCCTTGATTTTATCTCTGCTCTCAAAAGGGTCTGTAGCTCAATAAGCTGCATTTTGGAGAGAGAGAGAGAGAGAGAGAGAGAGAGAGAGCAAATAACAAGTCAGAAAATTTTATTGTGGATAGAGAAAGAAATAAGTACAATCAATCTAATCAGGAGGGGATAAACAGGAGATCACAGGCATGAATGTACAACAGTGTGTGTCAAATGTGTGTGTGTGAGAGAGAGAGAGAGAGTACAGACTACAGACCTTGTTTCCCATTTGCTCTGCTTCCTCTTGGGCAACCCTTGAAGCCACTCTTTCTGCAAGCAATCTCCCCTTTAAACATTCTAAAGTTCTCAAACTATCCTCCCCTTCCATCGTCCTTTCACTGAGACAATACCCATGTCACATTTTGCAAATAACTCAGACAAATCACACACTCACAAAAACACAAAGATACATGCTCATGGAGAGAGAGAGAGAGAGAGAGAGAACTCACCTCCATGTTTAATCTACATTGCCAGCACCAACATAGTTCAGCCATTAATATTTGGCCTTCCACTGAAACCAACCAACTGCAAGTGTTTCCCTGCAGCTTGTACCGATTTTTCATTTTCAGGACCCGGATAGGCCCACCATTAAACAAAGCAAAAAAGTTGTGACAGATTTATTATATTGTGTTTCAATCAAAACAAAGCAAAAAGTTGCTTCAGATTTATAGGAACTTAAGAAGTTTGGAGAAAGCAAAGAACAAAGAAGATAAGTTGCTTACTATGATTGTTAGATTAGAAAACCTGTCAGAGCTTGGACTCATGCCCCACAATAAAATGGTGTATCTGTAACAATAGACAAAGGAATGGACACTCTTCTGTTACTTCTGCTTTGGAATTGGTAACAACTGTAACTGATAATGCTTTAACTGTCCTTCAGTGTTTACAATCTAGTACTCCTTGGTATATCCCACCCAATACATTATTCTTCTATTTCTCTTATTGGGTGATCCTCTGCTGTGAATTCAACTGAAATTAGGGCCGATAATCATACGAACCCAAATGAATTTGAGTCGAGCTTGTCAAACTCATTTTTCTAAATGAAGTTTAGCTCGTTTTTTAAATGAGTTGAGTCTGAATGAACTCAAAACAAATTAAATCCAAATCGAACTTGAGTATTTACACATAAATAGTCGAATCTGTAGAGTTCGAGTTGAGGTTATCAGGCTCGTTTTTTAAATAAGCTTAAAAAATTATTTAAATTTGATTCATTTGAAAAACGTGTCAAGTTTGAACGAGTCAAAAATGAACCAAACTCGAATAACTTGATTTGATTATCAACCCTAAGACTCGTCTACAACCTGAAACTTACAGTTCTATTCCTGTTCAACCATTAATAAAGCCTGTTAATTCAGGATAGCTTGATTTTTTAGGAGTCAGGCGAGGATAAGATACAAAGAAATCATTTTCAATGGAGGTTTCTGTTGAGTAATCTATACCTATGTATCACAATAATAAGAAAACAAGATGAAACTATAAATAACAAGATTTTTCACACCTCACGGTTTTTATTGAAAAAAAAAATGGGATATGATATTGAAAAGAAGCATTTCAAGACTAGAGAATTTATGAAGGGTAAATATCTTATGGTGGGATTGTCAAAATTCGAATTTAGGACATTTGAATTTACAGTTCGTTCTTATTTTCACTTGAACTACTTCTTAGATTGCTTGTTTTTTATTGGACCGGAGAAGGATATAGTCAAGGTACACGTAAGTTAATTCGAACACTTTATCGTTGAAAAGTAAATAAATAAAATATTGCTAAATTTTTTACCAGCAGGACAATTACTACTCCCTTTCACTTGATCATATCCACTAATACATCTGCCTACACAACTTTCTTGGATGATTTAAAACAAAAAACAATGGGAAATGAGTGAAAAAACGGTAAAGAGGATTAATGATATGGCTTAAAGAACACTGGTTATTGTTTAGCTGGACCACTTCTGGCAGAGTACTAGTAAGTGGGGCAGAGGGTTTGGCGCCTTTACCATTCCATCAAAGATCCTCAGTACATCTAAAGGTAAGAACTATAAATTCAAATGTAGAGTCAATTCGAGATAATAATAGGCTTAAAATGATAGATTTGAGTGAGATTTTTTATATTTTTTTCATTGAATTTTTTCCGCTTTTCAAAGTACTAAAATATTAATTACATACTTGTATTAAATTAATGGTAGCCTACTATTTTTAGTTAATAATTTACTTAATTTTTCTTATAAAACAATCAATTTGATTTTATTAATTTTAATCCTTGAATTTTTTTTTTAAAAATAATTGTTAAAGGTAATGTAAGTAATATATTATAAGCAAAACATTAACTTAAAAAAGAATCTAACTTCAATATTTAATTTAGTACCTCAATTAAAAAAAATATTATTTGAGTGCTTGGAACGGAGAAAAAAAATAATGATCAGTCGGTGATTGTTGCTGTCTTTTATGGTTTACACGACAAAAAATATATTGAAACTTAAAAATATGACATAATATTTTGATCTAATGATTAGGAGTACAATTTGGGCGGACCAATCTGAATTCAATCAGAAAAAATAGAGTAAAGCCACCGTTTTGATGGCCTTGAACTCTCCAGCTGGCCATACCCAGGCGTTCTAATTTCAAATTTTGGAAAGTTATTGGAATCAGACCATGAAGAATTCATCTTTTATGAATAAATTAGTCATCTCATGGATGGTTGTCTTTAATCGGACTAATTAAGGGGGAATTAGTTGAGGTGTTCGTAAGTTAAGCCGAACACCTTGATTGTTAAAGCCAACAAAAAAAAAATCCTCATTATACTCATTTAATTGGGTTCAACTATGGGATGAAAATTTAATTTTTTGATATGATTTGTTACATCATGTTTTATAATTGATTAATTTCGTGGAGTCTATTGTAAAATCTTAACCATTTTCATGGTCATGATGTTATCAAGTTTAAGATCTAAAAGTTACATTGAAGGGAGGAGATCAAACATTAAACCTATATCATTCAACCTCCATATGCACCTTCATGCATGTGATAAAGGTAATGACCTAGACACCTAAAATGATCCCTTAATTATTTTTAATTTATTATGATTAGGATGAAAAATAGAATTAGATGACTCTTAGGAATTTTCAAAGAAAAGTTTTTTTAAATCAATTTTGTATTTTGAAAACATAGTTTGAGTTATAATCAAACCACCAATGGACCTTTGGTCCAATGGTACTCATTGACTTGTAAAACCTTTGTCTTATTTAAGTTAGGGTTTCAAGTCCCCCTTCCCAAAAAAAAAAACAAAGAGTCACAATCGAACCCTTCTTTGAGCAACACTCTTTAATGCTCAAAATTACAAGTTTTTGCATGATTTTAAGCTTAAAAACCTGTAGGGACCAATCTATCCTCGTTAACCTTTACTAGACTTCTTGAGGTCAAGGCTTCGTTAATCTTTACTAGAGTAGTCTCTTTATAACTTAAGAAATGAAATGGAAAAAGGCTATGGTAAGTAGCACATGGCCCGCTTGAGCGATCTCCATGGTTGCTCGAGTAATGCTTCATGGTCACTCGAGCGGTGCTTGCCTTAATCGTGTTTGAAACGCAGTTTTCACTCCAGCGACAACCGCCCTGTAACCGTTCTCCCATCGATCGAGCAGTTTTTCGCGAATCTATTCTTATTTACTAAGTCCACCTTTATTCTGAACCTATAAAGGATGAGTGTCTTTCCCATATCTAAGTCAAAGTCTTTAGAGAGATTTTTGAAGAAGAAATCCAGTTTTTAATCTTGAAAGCTTGTGAAGGATCTACCTCCCCCTTACCAGAGATATACCTCCTTCCAAGAGCATTCCCTCCCCATTACCGGGGATATCCCGTTCTCCATCAAAGGATTTTGGCTAACCTGCAGATCAAACGTCCACAGTAGCCTTTACCTCTGTCCCACATCGGGAAAAGAGTCGTCTCCCCACCCCCATATAAGCCAAAGCACCATATGAGAGCAGTACCCAAGTAGAACTAGTGCTTCGACTTATATGGGGGTGGGGAGACGACTCTTTCCCCGATGTGGGACAGAGGTAAAAGCTACTGTGGACGTTTGATCCGTAGGTTAGCCGAAATCCTTTGATGGAGAGCGGGATATCCCCGGTAATGGGGAGGGAATGCTCTTGGAAGGAGGTATATCCCTGGTAAGGGGGAGGTAGATCCTTCACAAAGCTTCCACCACAACTTAAATCCTAAAGAATTCAAAGGTTACCACTAGTGATTATTTTCATCCTTACAACTTGGAGTAGAAAAAGCTTGTTGGTGAACAAACCCATTGGTGTATGCATACAGGGGATTATTGGTGTGCCTATAATCGTTCGAGGCCTAAACGAACTGTGTTGCAGGGAGGTCAAAGTGAAGTTACAGCAGACGTCGAGAAAGGAGTTTTGATGGAGAGACATGGTAAAGAAATGAGTATCTAGTCATGAGTATTAGTTGAGGTATAAGACTTGAGTATTTGTACGTTGACATGACGTGTAGTGAATTAGACTTTAGTGAACCCCGAATAGCCCCCTACGATTTTTCCTAAGGAGGGTTTTTTGCATCACCAATTTGCTTGTGGCTCTTATTGTGTATTGTACACACTTGCAATTGTAAGCACACACGTGCACTATATGTTTAATGTTTTGATTGCTTGATACCATATTATCCATAATTGTGCAAATTAGGTTTGTGAGATTTGAGATCGACGTGAGATTGATTACGAGCGAATTAATTGCATATTAATTTACAAATGACTATGTTCCATCATCCTTACATCAAGCCTTGATCTTCTTATCAGAAAGTGGTAATGAAGACAGAAAGGGGATGAAAGTGTACTGGGCAGATGCAGATCCTTCCATGCAGATGCACACATTGTAGAGGCCCATTTATATCATAAGAACTTGACCTCATTTGGACAAAGCATCATCATGAACCAATTTGATGAAGTTTAAGAGCATAGATTGTATCATATTTTTAATGACATGGCCAGGCCTAAATTTTTACAACCCAGGCTTGAAGGCAAAAAGTTAAAGAGGTTGATGGATAAAGCCTATAAGGTTGCCATTAAAGCCATTAAAGTTAAAGAGGTTAATGTGGCAAGATGGTTGCCATTAAAGTCACATTAACTAAGTTCTTCACATTTATCTTGGAAAAAAGGATGAAGGCAGTAGGAGATGCCTCTGTTGATTGGGCTAAGTGTATATTATAAAGTGGTCCAGAAAATCTAAACCTAGAAATAGGGTTGGAAATCTTCAGTCTGTGTCTACTAATCTAGATGATATAAAAGTAGATGTTCAAGTTTCATTAGAAGAAGTGGACTTGGGGTCAATCATTATGTGTGTTATGAGTTGTGGTGATTAAAGGGTTCTCACATTTATTGTTATTAGTTGGTGCCCACGTACGTTGTACGTGGACCATTTTGAATTATAATTTTTATTTTTATTGTTTACTTTTTACTCGTATTATCTCTATATTTGTAGTTTTATGTATGCATAAAATAAGTGTGAAGTTAGAAAGTAAAAGAGACAAAATGTAAAAGAAAGGCATTAGGTCGTTGATTTGATTACTTCTTGGTTGTTTATAAAATTTATATTTCAAATATTTTACTTCTACCATGGTGTGAGCACCACTTATCAGAATTCTCATCAAGAATATTGACTTTGGAAAGGAAAAAATTACAATCTTACAATAAATGTTTGACAATTGAAGACCAAAAAATGAATTAAAACTTGATAGAAGTGA